TATCAAAATCTAATCTCAGTCTTCCTACTAACAAGGGACATGTCACAACTGTCCGAAACCGATTTGATTCTTCTTGAAATATTAGGGATGTGCCGGATATCCGGTAAGAATCCGGTATCCGGCCTATCCGGCCCTTATTAGTATCCGGCCGGATAGCCGGATATCATTAGTATCCGGCCGGATAGCCGGATATCATTAAACTTTGAAAATTGATGCAGAATTCGAGAATCGAGATTCTAAATAATTTCTAATATCAGTGAAAAGTTTAGGGTATTCTAAAATATGAGTCTTCCACCATGTTAAGGGATCCTCATCTCTCAGTGACAGAGGTAGCGTCAGGTATTTTGATAACTCTATAAAGGAAATAGAGACGAAACGAGAAACGGACAGACGCACGCACATACGCATATGCGCATACACACGATATCTCAACCGCCACGGAAATTTCCAGAATTTTCGAAAGTTTCGAGAAGAGTTGTTACGAATCCTGCAAGATCTTGTCCGAGGGCAACGTCATCGAGCGCCCTTCCGCGTCGATCTCGTAACCTGTGATCGCCAATCAAAGGGACGACTGGGCGTGCCCAGCGGGTAGCGGGGAGGACAGTTCCTCCTTAGAATCAACTATCTTTTCGGGCATTCTGGCTTAATCAGTCTCGGCGTCAACTCGAATATTTTTCCGTGGCGACAAAAGAGCTGCATAGTGCATAGTATCTGCTGTTTTTAGCGAGTGTCTTCTTGAGTCACTTCTGATTCTGACTTCTGAGTTCTGACAGTTCTGATTTTCTGACGGTATTGGTGCTTCGTGTGTTTAAGTGTTTATGCCCAAAACAAAGACTCTAACGAATTATAAAATCATAAAATGGCACAAGGAAAATCTGGAAAATCCAGCGTATGGAAATTTTTTAAAATATGTGAAGATGAAAAAAAAGCCGAGTGTTCTCTTTGCGACTCGACATCAAAAAATCAAATTGTAAGAGGCAAATCGTCGAAATTATTTTCAACTAAACCCTTATGGAACCATTTGAAAAGTAAACATCCGTTAATAATGAAAACATTAGATAAAGAAGTAAATGCCAGTAAGGATGAAGATGAAGATGATCCATTGGCTTCTAGCTCTTCATCTACGACAATCCTAAAGAAATCAGAAAAACCAGAATCTCGTCAGACACAGCCTACTTTAAAGTCTGTAATTAAGAAAAAAGAAATGTGGTCTTTGAATGATTCAAGATCAATCAACATAACCAAAAAGATCGGTATGTTATATTTTTTAATTTTTTTTATATTTATTTTAGAGAATCATTATGTATGTATTGTTTGTTATATTTTAGGTGAAATGATAGCTCTTGATGCTGAAGCATTTGCACTAGTTGAGCGCAAAGGCTTTGAAAGATTAATAAAGTTTTTGGCACCGCAGTATCCTCTACCTTGTAGAACACATTTTTCCGAAAAAATTATGCCCCAGATGTACGAAAACTTGAAAACACGTATTTGTAAAGAATTAGCTACTGCAAAATACATATCGTTTTCCACCGATATCTGGACTTGTTCAGCAAACAATGAGGCATTCATAAGTTTGACAGCTCACTTTATACGAAATGATGATATACGGAGAGAAATATATGTTCTCAGCGCAAAACACTTTCCTGGTAGCCATACTGGCGTCAATATCGGTCAGATATTAAATGATATAATGAAGAATGGCATATCAATTCTAATCAAATTCATTTAATTTTAAGGGACAATGCTGCTAATATGATTGTTGGAACTGGTATTTACGTTTAAATAAATTTACATTGAAGAATATATTTTATTAGTAAATAATATATTCTTGATTTTAAATTGTCGACATTAAATATTATTAATTATGTCATATATCTTACAGGTATGATAGGAGAAAATGTAGGATGTATTATTCATACTTTACAACTCGTGATCCATGATTGCATTTTTAAAAATCAAAAATTTGTTGAAATTTTGGGAAAATGTCGGAAAATTGTTGGACATTTTAGCCATTCTGCACTCGCTTGTTCGAAACTCAATAGCATTCAGGAAAATTTGAAGTTACCAATTCATAAATTAATTCAAGATGTTACCACACGATGGAATTCTACATTTTATATGTTGTCTAGGATTTATGAACAACGACAAGCAGTAACTGCATATGCTGCAGAAAGAGATATACCAACCCTTACAGCCATTCAATGGAATATGGTAGAAAACGTTATACGTGTTCTCCAACCATTTGAAGAAATTACTAAAATATTAAGTTCTGATTGCGAGACAATTGGATATATTATTCCAGCAGTTGTTACTTTACATTCATATCTTTCAAAACGACAAAAAGATGCTGGAATAGTAATGTTGAAGGAAGAGCTCAAGAAAGCAATAGAAGAACGATTTTTTAATTCTATAGGTATTGTTATAATGTCCATTGTTAATAAATTTACAATGTTATTAATTTTTTCTTTAAAATAAATTATTTTATTTTTTATCGTCATATAGGACTCAACATCAAAGATCGGAAATGTTTTGTACTGGCTACTCTTTTAGATCCAAGATTTAAAACTAAGTTTTTGTCAGACGAAAATAAAGCCAAAGATTGGATCATTAATGAATTACTCGAAATAAATAATACAATCATCGAAAATGATGAAAACAAAACACCGAAACGTAATGTCGGCCCTCTTCAAAAGCAAGACATAATCAGTGAAACACATGACGACATCTGGAAGTGCTTTGATGACATAGTGAACAATTCAAAATCGGATACCGATAATAGCAGTTTTGAGGATTCATCAAGTCAAACAACTTTTACAAGACAACCCAGTGACAGAAGCAAAAAGAAAGCTGCAGTTTATAATGCAGAGTTATCAAAATACCTGATGCTACCTCTGTCACCGAGAGATGAGGATCCCTTAACATGGTGGAAGACTCATATTTTAGAATACCCTAATCTCAAAACTTTAGTTTTGAAATACTTAAGCGCTCCACCATCCTCCGTGCATTCAGAAAGACTTTTCAGTGCAGGAAAATTGGTTTATTCCGATAATCGAAATAGATTGTCACCAGAAAACGCTGACATGTTATTATTCATCATGAAAAATTTATTAATATTGAATTTTGATTATGATTATGATTGTGATTTGTGAGTAATGTCGAATAAATACTATAAATAGTAAATACATTATACTGGCTTTTTAAATTTACTCTAAACACATGATATATGGTATAATAAATATTAAGTCTGGTTCACACGTGTTTAAATAAATATTTTCACTGTTAGAAATTATTACTTATTAGTACCGGATATCCGGTAAATATCCGGTATCCGGCCGGATATTTATAATACCGGATATCCGGTATCCGGTTTCATATTATTACCGGATATCCGATATCCGGTATCCGGTAATTTTATTATCCGGCACATCCCTATGAAATATATTGTACATACACAAATCTAAAAGACACGTATTTTTTTATACGTGCGCAATTTGAGTTTTAAGGGATGAAACACCCCTTTAAGAAAAAACAGTATTTTTCTTTAGGATCGAATATCTAAACTATAAGAGATAAAAAAAAAACGTAAAACAAACTTTAATGGCTTGAAGAGTACTTTAAAGTTATATGAGCAAAAATTTTTTATTTTTATTATTTTTTCTAAAACCCCCACCACTTAAATTTTTTCAAATTAAAAATTTTGATTTACCTAATTTAAAGCTTATTTTTTCCAAATTCAACCATGGTAATAAAGTTATTTTACAAAATATCATTTTCAAAAATTAATTATAAACGCTCTCGTATATACGCTCATCCGTGTTAGATGCGTAAGTAATTACTAGGGATGTGCCGGATAATAAAATTACCGGATACCGGATATCGGATATCCGGTAATAATATGAAACCGGATACCGGATATCCGGCCGGATATCCGGTATTATAAATATCCGGCCGGATACCGGATATTTACCGGATATCCGGTACTAATAAGTAATAATTTCTAACAGTGAAAATATTTATTTAAACACGTGTGAACCAGACTTAATATTTATTATACCATATATCATGTGTTTAGAGTAAATTTAAAAAGCCAGTATAATGTATTTACTATTTATAGTATTTATTCGACATTACTCACAAATCACAATCATAATCATAATCATCAAAATTAATATTAATAAATTTTTCATGATGAATAATAACATGTCAGCGTTTTCTGGTGACAATCTATTTCGATTATCGGAATAAACCAATTTTCCTGCACTGAAAAGTCTTTCTGAATGCACGGAGGATGGTGGAGCGCTTAAGTATTTCAAAACTAAAGTTTTGAGATTAGGGTATTCTAAAATATGAGTCTTCCACCATGTTAAGGGATCCTCATCTCTCGGTGACAGAGGTAGCATCAGGTATTTTGATAACTCTGCATTATAAACTGCAGCTTTCTTTTTGCTTCTGTCACTGGGTTGTCTTGTAAAAGTTGTTTGACTTGATGAATCCTCAAAACTGCTATTATCGGTATCCGATTTTGAATTGTTCACTATGTCATCAAAGCACTTCCAGATGTCGTCATGTGTTTCACTGATTATGTCTTGCTTTTGAAGAGGGCCGACATTACGTTTCGGTGTTTTGTTTTCATCATTTTCGATGATTGTATTATTTATTTCGAGTAATTCATTAATGATCCAATCTTTGGCTTTATTTTCGTCTGACAAAAACTTAGTTTTAAATCTTGGATCTAAAAGAGTAGCCAGTACAAAACATTTCCGATCTTTGATGTTGAGTCCTATATGACGATAAAAAATAAAATAATTTATTTTAAAGAAAAAATTAATAACATTGTAAATTTATTAAACAATGGACATTATAACAATACCTATAGAATTAAAAAATCGTTCTTCTATTGCTTTCTTGAGCTCTTCCTTCAACATTACTATTCCAGCATCTTTTTGTCGTTTTGAAAGATATGAATGTAAAGTAACAACTGCTGGAATAATATATCCAATTGTCTCGCAATCAGAACTTAATATTTTAGTAATTTCTTCAAATGGTTGGAGAACACGTATAACGTTTTCTACCATATTCCATTGAATGGCTGTAAGGGTTGGTATATCTCTTTCTGCAGCATATGCAGTTACTGCTTGTCGTTGTTCATAAATCCTAGACAACATATAAAATGTAGAATTCCATCGTGTGGTAACATCTTGAATTAATTTATGAATTGGTAACTTCAAATTTTCCTGAATGCTATTGAGTTTCGAACAAGCGAGTGCAGAATGGCTAAAATGTCCAACAATTTTCCGACATTTTCCCAAAATTTCAACAAATTTTTAATTTTTAAAAATGCAATCATGGATCACGAGTTGTAAAGTATGAATAATACATCCTACATTTTCTCCTATCATACCTGTAAGATATATGACATAATTAATAATATTTAATGTCGACAATTTAAAATCAAGAATATATTATTTACTAATAAAATATATTCTTCAATGTAAATTTATTTAAACGTAAATACCAGTTCCAACAATCATATTAGCAGCATTGTCCCTTAAAATTAAATGAATTTGATTAGAATTGATATGCCATTCTTCTATTATATCATTTAATATCTGACCGATATTGACGCCAGTATGGCTACCAGGAAAGTGTTTTGCGCTGAGAACATATATTTCTCTCCGTATATCATCATTTCGTATAAAGTGAGCTGTCAAACTTATGAATGCCTCATTGTTTGCTGAACAAGTCCAGATATCGGTGGAAAACGATATGTATTTTGCAGTAGCTAATTCTTTACAAATACGTGTTTTCAAGTTTTCGTACATCTGGGGCATAATTTTTTCGGAAAAATGTGTTCTACAAGGTAGAGGATACTGCGGTGCCAAAAACTTTATTAATCTTTCAAAGCCTTTGCGCTCAACTAGTGCAAATGCTTCAGCATCAAGAGCTATCATTTCACCTAAAATATAACAAACAATACATACATAATGATTCTCTAAAATAAATATAAAAAAAATTAAAAAATATAACATACCGATCTTTTTGGTTATGTTGATTGATCTTGAATCATTCAAAGACCACATTTCTTTTTTCTTAATTACAGACTTTAAAGTAGGCTGTGTCTGACGAGATTCTGGTTTTTCTGATTTCTTTAGGATTGTCGTAGATGAAGAGCTAGAAGCCAATGGATCATCTTCATCTTCATCCTTACTGGCATTTACTTCTTTATCTAATGTTTTCATTATTAACGGATGTTTACTTTTCAAATGGTTCCATAAGGGTTTAGTTGAAAATAATTTCGACGATTTGCCTCTTACAATTTGATTTTTTGATGTTGAGTCGCAAAGAGAACACTCGGCTTTTTTTTCATCTTCACATATTTTAAAAAATTTCCATACGCTGGATTTTCCAGATTTTCCTTGTGCCATTTTATGATTTTATAATTCGTTAGAGTCTTTGTTTTGGGCATAAACACTTAAACACACGAAGCACCAATACCGTCAGAAAATCAGAACTGTCAGAACTCAGAAGTCAGAATCAGAAGTGACTCAAGAAGACACTCGCTAAAAACAGCAGATACTATGCACTATGCAGCTCTTTTGTCGCCACGGAAAAATATTCGAGTTGACGCCGAGACTGATTAAGCCAGAATGCCCGAAAAGATAGTTGATTCTAAGGAGGAACTGTCCTCCCCGCTACCCGCTGGGCACGCCCAGTCGTCCCTTTGATTGGCGATCACAGGTTACGAGATCGACGCGGAAGGGCGCTCGATGACGTTGCCCTCGGACAAGATCTTGCAGGATTCGTAACAACTCTTCTCGAAACTTTCGAAAATTCTGGAAATTTCCGTGGCGGTTGAGATATCGTGTGTATGCGCATATGCGTATGTGCGTGCGTCCGTCCGTTTCTCGTTTCGTCTCTATTTCCTTTATAGAGTTATCAAAATACCTGACGCTACCTCTGTCACTGAGAGATGAGGATCCCTTAACATGGTGGAAGACTCATATTTTAGAATACCCTAAACTTTTCACTGATATTAGAAATTATTTAGAATCTCGATTCTCGAATTCTGCGACAATTTTTAAAGTTTAATGATATCCGGCTATCCGGCCGGATACTAATGATATCCGGCTATCCGGCCGGATACTAATAAGGGCCGGATAGGCCGGATACCGGATTCTTACCGGATATCCGGCACATCCCTAGTAATTACCGTCGAACAATAAGATATATAAAAAAATGTTTTTGTATAATTCTTATTTATGTTTTCTATGTATTTATAACTGCGTATTGTGTATATTTAGATTTTTAAAAAAATATATTTGCATTTTATATTATTCACTCATTATACACATTACAATAATGATATTCATCAAAAAAATGTTTCAAGCATAATAACATCTTGCACCAAGAACATCTTACTACAGCTATATTATTACAATCTTTGATATCACATTTTGTTAAAGTTTCGCAATATACACGTACATCAGAATTTTATAATTCATCTAAAATCAGATTGTACAGCAGTTTCCCTTACAGCAATCTTAAAATCGGAAAATTTAATTAGAGATAAGATCTAAATTCCCAAAACCATCCATCTAATGGTACAACAAAATATATCATTAAGTATGTTAAAATATACCATTAAGTTATGTTCAACCGTTTCACACTAAACAACATTATTCCACGACAACAAACTAGTATCAACGTTTTCTTTACACTCGCCTGATGGCAACAAATTGCTGCGCCTCGTGTGTAATTAAGATTAACTAATAACAATATGATTTGTTTTGTCTCCGCTAAAGGTGGCTCTATTTTTTTAAGCGCCACTGTATGTTCACGCAGGTAAAAATATTTATCTTATGTTGTGAAGTATACGTCAACGAGTAAAATATTAAACTCAATGAAAGGAGAGCATAACTTTATCGAATCAAGCGGACCAAACAATCTATTCATTGTCAATTTTTATCCGATAGCCAGAGGAGGAATGCAATATATTTGTTATGTTAGATCCTTTTATAAAATACGTCAATTTATTTTCAATGAGAAAGGCTACGATTCGTATGTGTTTAAAAAAATTCATTGATGTATTCATTCCGAAATTTGGATAAGCGTATTTTTTTCTGATCATAGTAGCCAATTCACTTCCGCA